GATGGACATCTGGATGGAGGCTTTAAGCTCACCAGCTAGGAGGTGTCTATCATGCTAACCTGGTCTGTCATGAGCACAGGATACTGCAGGGGTGACACATGGCAATGTATCAATCATAAGACACAAGGGCCAGCAGGATGCCCTCAGCCACACCCATCACTGTCAGGAGGTATGAACTACACATACCTGAAAAGAGAGAGCCTTCTCCCTGAAAGAAGTTGGATGCCATCATGGAGACGGAGACTGGGAGAAGTCAAATGTTGAATAGGGAGATTTGGCTGGGCAGAAAACACATGGTATGTGGATCTTGGTGTCCATGTAGATTGAGAAGAGTGGTAAAGTGTTTCCCAGAAAGACCATAATGAACATGGCAACCATCAGAGAGAAACGGAGATGAAACAGCCCTGAACAACTTAAAAAGCCCACCAGAATGAAGTCCAAGACCACTGATTGATTTATATCCCCCATGCTTTATTCAACAAACTTTAACTGCAGGAAAAATCTTTGACAAGAAGCCTGGATGGGGATGGCAGAGAAGTTTCACTGTATATGCCAACTACAATACACTGGAGCGTGTGCTAGACAAGTACAGCTTACACCAGTATGAAAAATACGCCATGTTCAATTTGTAATGTCTATCACAATCATGGAGCCCTGGTGGCGCAGCAGTTAAGTGATATAGCCACTAAGCAAAAGGTCAGCAGTTCAAATCCACCAGCTGCTCCTTGGAAACCCTATGGAGCAGTTCTACTCTGTCCTGTAGGGTCACTATGGGTAGGAACCAACCTGATGGCAACAGGTTTTTTTTTAATCAAAACCATAGGATGGGGGAGTAACAAGATGCACGTATGTTTTTGACATATCTGAATAACAGACTTCGTCAGACCACAGGAAAAAACTACTCACTTTTAGTTAAATCACTGAGGTTCAAGCTAAAAGACAAAAACAAAAACCCATTGCTGTCGAGTCACTTCCAAGCCTTGCTGAAAGTGAAGAAGACTTGAAGCACTTACCGATGAAGCTCAAAGACTACAGCCTTTAGTATGGATTATACCTCAACATGAGAAAACAAAAATCCTCACAACTGGACTAATAAGCAACATCATAATAAATACAAAAAAGACTGAAGTTGTCAAGGATTTCATTTTACTTGGATCCACAAACGACAAGAAATCAAACGATGATTGCATTGGGCAAATCTGCTGTGAAAAATCTCTTTAAAGTGTTGAAAAGCAAAGATCTCACTTTGAGGACTAAGGTGCGCCTGACCCAAGCCATATTTTCAATCGCCTCATATGCATGCGAAAGCTAGACAATGAATAAGGAAGACTGAAGAATTGATACCTCTGAATTACGGTGTTGTCACAGAATATTGAATATACCGTGAATTGCCAGAAGAGTGAACAAGTCTTGGAAGTACAGCCAGAACCAAGGATGGTGAGACTTCATCTCACATACTTTGGACATGTTACGAGGAGGGACCAGTCCCTGGAGAAGGACATTATCTTAGTCTAGGGCTGCCATAAGAGAAATACCATAAGTGGATGGCTTAACAAAGAGAAATTTATTTCCTCACAGTCTAGTAGCCTAGAAGTCCAAACCCAGGGCATGAGCTCCAGGGGAAGGCTTTTTCTCTCTGTCGGCTCTGGAGGAAAGTTCTTGTCATCAATCCTCCCTTGGTCTGGGAGCATCTCAGTGCAGGAACTTCAGATCCAAAGGATACACTATGCTCCCAGCATTGCTTTCTTGATGGTATGAAGTCCCCAACTCTCTGCTTCCCTTTCATCTCTTGTAAGATAAAAGGTGGTGCAGGCCACACCCCAGAGAAAGTCTTTTTACATTCAATCAGGGATGTGACCTTAATAAGATTACAATCCCACCCTAATCCTCTAACATAAAATTAGTCACAAAATGGAGAACAACCACACAGTACTGTGAATCATGGCCCAGTCAAACTGATATTTTTGGGGGGACATAATTCAATCCATGACAGACATCATGCTTGGTAAGGTAGAGGGTCAGCAGAAGAGGAAGACTCTCAAAGAGATGAACTGACACAGTGGCTGCAACAATTAGCTTAAACATAAAACATGCAGGACCAGGCAGTGTTTTGTTCTGTTGTACACGGGGTTGCGGTACTCGGAACCGACTCGACAGCACCTAACAACAAGACATACAAGGACAAATGAGCAAATTTTTCACAAATTGGTGAATCTAGATCAAGGGTTATGGGTGCTTGTTTTACAGGAACTACAGACTTACTGTATATAAAAAATTCAAAATAAATACCTAAAAGAAAATCTACCTCGCAAAACAATCGTTTTTATGGTAAATTAATTCTAAATTCTGCCACTAAAATAAGCCTTCATTGTCTTACTTCTTACAGTCTCCTATACTTTAAAGGTCTGGGGGACTGTGAGGGCTCCAGAAGTGAGATGAGGTCGAGATGACTTAAATTTACTTTGTGGTAAATTGGTATTTGTATTCATTCCTTCACTCATGGATTTATTTACATTACACACACAGACTCCTAACAATCTTAAAAGTTTTCTCTTTGCATCTGAGTATAATTTATTAAACTTTCGTAACTGACACCAAAAGCCAGAGAAATTACACCCACTGTTCACCAGGACACACCAGAATCGTTGAGGATAGGACCAGGCTGGGGCCAGAATCTCCTTGACATGAAAGGCACAAATGCTTTTTCCTTTTGGAGACAAAACAAATGTTGAAGGCTTTGGGAGAGTAGAGCAGAACAGATGAAAAGGCACTGCCTGCACTTCCTGTCAACTCTCAGGGACCCAAGCCCCAGGGGGCCACCCTGATCCTAGCAGTTCAGGATGGGCTAGGTGGGTGCAGACAAAAAAAGAGCTGAGTTCTTAGAAGAGGGCCCATGGCTCCTGAGCACCCACAAAGCACAACCAGTAACTGGTGAGGGACCAGCCACCTCCGATTCCTCATCACCGTCTTTGTACCCTCCACCTGCTGTAGGGCCACACTGGGACTCAGCCTGCCTCCAAAAGAACTTGCTTCAGAAGTGACGATGAAGGGAGTGATCACTAAGATGGCTACCCACAGGCTAATGCTCCAGCTCAGATATGCAATCCACTTCTGGTTCCTACCCTAGGATCAGAAAAATGGCAGGAGCCCTGGGGATCGTGGTGACTGAAAAGCAGTGGCCACTTCCCACAGATGGGTCCTGAGAAATACTATTTTTCTTTGGCAAAAGACTTGGCTAGGTGCTGGGCTCAGACCAGGCTGGCAGTGGTGGCATGGCCCAGAGCCCCATACACAAGGGCCTGTGGTCTACAGGTCTACAGGCCACCTCGCCCCCTCAGCAAATGTGGGACTGCCTATCCGATATGGTATCCACACAAACGCCCTCCCCTGATGTCAGTGCCAAACAGTAGTGTGGTAGGTTCGTCCAGAAAGCAGCCTCTGCAGATCCCAGCAGCACTTGGAATTATATATTGCTGGTAAGAATACAGGAGCTCTGGTGATGCAGCGGTTACGCACTCAGCTGCTAACCAAAAGGTTGGCAATTCGAACCCACCAGCCACTCTGCAAAAAAAACGTGGCAGTCTGCTTCCGTAAAGATTTACAGCCTTGGAAACCCTGTGAGGCAAGCAGTTCTACTCTGTCCTAAAGGAGAGTCAGAATTGACTCAACGGCAACAGGTTTTTTTTTTTTGTTTTGGGGGGAATAAAATAGTACAGCCCCTTTAAAAAACTGATTGGCACTGTCTAATATAAAAGTTAAACATATACCTACATATAACAGCAATAATACTCCTACGGATATATATAAAAGGAAAAATATGTTCATGTAAGTGTATTCATTTATATAAAATTTATTAATAAAAGGTGGAAACCCAAATATTCTCCAAATGGTGAATACACAAACTGTGGCGTGTGTATACATTAACTACACACCAATAAAAAGGAACAAACTATCGACACATTCATCAACACGGATTCTCAAATGTACTATACTATGCAAAAAGAGCCAGATCAAAAAACTTACATAGTGAAGGACATGTACAGGGGCAGTTGCCAGGACATTCATGGTCAGGGGAATGTTTGACTAAAAAGGGGAAGCATGAGGGAGGTTTTTGGAGGGAAGAGCGGTATTGTGTACTTTCATTGTTCGAATGATTACACCACTTAATACATTTGTCGAGTCATATATATACATTCCAAAACTGAATTACTATTTTTAAATTTTAAAAATAAAATTAAACATTTTATAATCAATGAACAATGACTTAAAAAATTGAAAACTGGAGAGAAGTAAAATAAGAAATCACTCAATCTCACCTTCAGGAGGAGAACGTTAAATGTTCTAGGATGGACTGGTTTGTCGGCATTTAAAAAAATGTAAACCATTTATATGTAAAAGTTTTACAAACGGACATCACATACAGTTCAATATTCAGCCTTTTACATATTATAACTGTCTCCTTTGATCCAAACGTTTTTGAAAAACACTCATTTAGTGGCAGCTCAATATTCTGATGTGTGGCTAGGCATTTACCGAACAACTCCCTTCCTGTTGGATGCTGATTCTGAGTTTCCATTATCACTACTATCAACAGGGAGCCCTGGCAGCTCAATGGTTAAGAGCTCAGCTGCTAACCAAAAGGTCGGCAGTTCAAATTCACCAGCCACTCCTTAGAAACCCTAGGGAACAGTTCGACTCTGTCCTATAGGGTCGCTATGAGTCAAAACCGACTCAGCGGCACATGAAAACTATCAATAGATACCATCATGCTCAGGGATTTCCACAGGATGATTCTACAGAGAATTGCTGCTTTAAGGGAAGGTTTAATTAGAAGGCTTCTCATACCTTTGACCATTTCCCAGGCCCTTTACATGAGGAGTCAGCGAGGCAGCTCCCACATCAGCCTGGAGCACAGTGGCACTGGATAAACCTTCAGACCCAACAGCCCTTTATCTTATCCCTACTATTAAGGAACCCTAGCTGCGCTCCCATCTTCTTCAGGCCCTGTAGTGGGTGTTCATATCAGGTGAAGCAGCAGCCACTATTCCAGCACAGCCCAAAGCCTCAGCTCCTGGTGCGGCAGACACTCTTGGACAGTCAGAATTACCAAACCAGTACCCTGTCACTGAGCACAGGCTCTGAGCCTGTGCAAGACAGAAGCTTCACTGCAGGTAGGACAGGTTGGGGCTCTGTGTGGGCCCACCATCACCTCAGGTCCAAGAATGAGCTGTCCTTCCATGCAAACCTTGGTTCTCAAACCATTTGAGAGAGGGGCACTTTCATGGGATGGTGGGAATTTGAGTTAAAACTTTCTATGCTGTTTCCTCATCAGTAATCCAGGGATCATGATGGTACCTAAGAGTATAAATGAGATGCAATGCAAAATATATCCACTATAACATCAAACATACAGTACAATCCTGATTCTATTAAAAACATTGATTTGCATACAAGGAAGGCTGAAAGGAAATACTGAAATACCAAGCGTTGTGAAATTCTAAGTGATTTCTGCTTTACCATACACTTTTGTTAAAATAAAAGTTCTCTACAATAACAACAGGCTGCTTTATACTCTGAAACAATATTAAATCTTAACATAATTGGTAAATAAGGAACACACCGCAACACACCTGTTAATAAAATTTTCCAATGAAAAAAATTTATGCAAATGAACCAAAATACAACTACTACTTATGGAAAATTCATGTTTTAGAATTAGAAGAGTACTTAGAGTGATATTTACCTTAATGTTTACATCAGAAAAAAGTGGAAATCTATGCACATGGGGCTACAATACTGTAAATTCTACATTTGTAAATCTAAATAACTTTCTTCCCTGGTATGAACTTCTTTGTGCACAAAAAGGGGAATGTGTTTGAAGGCTTTCTTACAACACTTACAGTCACCGGGTCTCTCCAGTGTGAGGTCTCTGGAGACACTGAAAGTTTCCATCACCTTTTACATTCCTAAGATTAATTCACAGTATAATAGCTCACATGTTGCCAGGAATGGAAAAATGTATACATGTTCCCAGGTACCTCACATTTACATGGTGTCTCTAGAGTGTAACTCCTCACATAGTTTAATTAGGTAACACTTTTCCATATGGGGAGCCCTGGTGGTATAGCAGTTAACAGCTATTAACCAAAAGGTCAGCAGTTCGAATCCACAAGCCACTCCCTGGAAACGCAATGGGGCAATTCTACTCTGTCATATAGGATCGCTATGAGTTGAAATCGACTCGATGGCAACGGGTTTTTCCATATGGATTAATTCAAATGTTTTTGAAAGTATGGGGAGAAAAACAAAATATTTCCCATTCTTTACACTTACATGATTTCTCTGCCATATATTCTTTCAGGTTTGGAAAAAGAGCATGAAAGCCATTCAACATTATATAGACTTATGTTTTCTGCAGCATATGTTTCAAAGACTGAGAGACATCTGAAGACTTTCCCACATTCCTTACATTCACAAGGACTCTCTCCACTGTGAGTTAGTATGTTTACAGAGAGAGGATGAATAACTAAAGACATTTCCACATTCCTTATACTTATAAAGGATCTCTCTACTGTGAGTTCTTATATGTTTAGTTAGGGATGAGGACTGACTAAATGCTTTCCCACATTCCTTACATTCATACGCCCTCTCTCCACTGTGAGTTCGTATATGGTTAGTGAGGGATGAGGAATGACTAAAGGCTTTTCCACATTCCTTACACTCATAAGGCCTCTCTCCACTGTGAGTTCTTATGTGATCAGTGAGGTGCGCTAACTGACTAAAGGCTTTCCCACATTCCATACATTCATAAGGCTTCTCTCCAGTATGAACTCTTAAATGGAGAGAGAGATTTGCCAACTTACTAAAGGCTTTCCCACATTCCTTACATTCATAAGGCCTCTCTCCACTGTGAGTTCTTATATGATTAGTTAAAGATGAGGAACATCTAAAAGCTTTCCCACATTCCTTACATTCATAAGGCCTCTCTCCACTGTGAGTTCTTATATGTGTAGTGAGGTGAGAGGACTGACTAAAGGCTCTTCCACATTCCGTACATTCATAAGGTTTCTCTCCGGTGTGAACTCTTATATGGAGAGTGAGGTGTGCCAACTGACTAAAGGCTTTGCCACATACCTTACAATCATAAGGCCTTTCTCCACTGTGAGTTTTTATATGTTTAGTGAGGGATGAGGAACGACTAAAGGCTTTCCCACATTCCTTACATTTGTAAGGCCTCTCTCCATTGTGAGTTCTTATATGTGTAGTGAGGTTTGAGGAACAACTAAAGGATTTCCCACAGTCCTTACATTCGTAAAGCTTCTCTCCACTATGAATTTTTCTATGTCTAGTGAGGTTTGAGAAATAACGAAAAGTTTTCTCACATTCCTTACACTCATAAGGTTTCTCTCCTCTGTGAGATCTCATATGGTCAGTGAGATGTGAAGACTGACTAAAGGCTTTCCCACATTCTTCACATTCATAAGGCTTCTCTCCACTGTGAGTTCTTATATGTCTAGTGAGATCTGAGAAATAACGAAAGGCTTTCCCACATTCCTTACATTCAAAAGGCCTCTCCCCACTGTCCATCTGTATATGTTCAGTGAGGGATGAGGAATAAGTTAATGCTTTCCCACATTCCTTACTTTTGTAAGGCTTATCTCCACTATGAAACTGTGTAAGTAATGTGAGGGATGAAGGATAAGTATAGGCTTTCCAATATTCTTCATATTCATGTGTATGATCACTCACACGCATCTGAGAAGATGAGAAACTACAAAAATCTCCCCCACATTCATTAAATTCATAGGGTTTCTCTCCAATAAGAGTTCTCACATGAGTGCTTAGGTAAGAGGAACAACTGTAGGCTTCTCCACATTCCTTACTCTGATACGTATCGCAACCAATGCGAGATCTGATATGATGTTCAACTGTTGAATGATCCATGAAGGTTCTTCCAGACTCATGCCATTCAGAAGTATTTACTTCAGGAGTAGTTGTTTTGAGCACAGTAAGATTTGCAGTCTGGCTGAAGGTTTTTCCACACTTACTGCCTTTGTTCCTTTCACAGAAGTTAACTTCCGTATGCTCTCTGTTAAAAACAAGCACCATGCTATTGGAAATAAATTTGTTACTATATCAGCCTTAACAAACACAGTGAATGTGTATTTTGCCCCGAGTTGCCTTGTTTTAAAGATTAAATCATCTAGCAGAGATACTATCATTATTGTCACGGTGTTTCTCAAATATAGGGCTTTTAGATAATTGAGTACAAGTGAAATATATTTCAAATACACCTCTGACTCACATTTATGAAAATACTATATTGTAAAAATTCTCTGAACACATAATTTTAGTTTATATGCATACATATACAGACTTCCCCTACTATCCAAAAGTAGAGCGTTCCTACGAAACTTTTCCAAAGTCAAAATGGTTTAAAGTGAAGAAGTAATTAGCATTAATTTATACGGGAAAAATTTTTGAGCGTTCCCAGACCCAAAAACTAACCAAGTTATACGAAATAACACATAAAACCTAAAATAACATTAAGAAATAGTAAAAGTAGGAAAGATATGATAAATCATAATAATGCGCAGATGCTCACAGACACATTTCAAAGCTATGGCAGCTTGACGCTGAAGTGTAGTTGCTGGGGAAGGAGCTTGGCCAGCACAGAGACATCCCTCAACTGGGACACAGGCCCTGAGGACCACCCCCTTCCCAGATTAGGGCCGCAATGCCCCAGTCACTGTCCTCCCCAGCTCATGCATCCAGGAGTGGCCAGCGTGTCAACCTTCTGGGAGGGACTGGGAGGTGCCCCCACCGCAGCCCAGGTATGGCCAGGCCTAGGCGGCGAGGGGGCAAGGCGAGGCTAAGGCAGAGGCCATGAACAACCTGAGGAGGAGGGGCCAAATCAGCCACTCCTCCCACCCTCAGTGGCACCTGAGATTGAGACCTGCAGAGACAGGCTGATTGAGAGCAGATAGTACACACTGTGGGGGGCAGGGGATTGGCCCCAGGCTCCCTCTCCTAGGGAAAGGGAGCAGAGCCAGACCCCGGCTTGCCTGCCCAGGCTCTCTGGGAGGCTGGCAACTATGGATCATGCCCCAGTGGGAGCCTGGAAAGAGGGGGTGGACAAAAGTACGGTGGGGAAGTGGTGTGCTGAAGGAAAGGAGGGGGTCAGTGGGTGGGAACGGCTGCCCTTTTCCCACCCTCAGGGAGTAGAAGGTCCTGAAGCCTGAAGTAGGGGTGATGCTATTCTCACTGCTCTGAGTGCACGCTGCCTCTTTAACAGCTTGCTGCAAAACAAACCACTGAATGCTATTTTCACTTTTCTTCTAGAAGCGAAAATCCTCTGGATTTTTTTTTGGTTAGTGAAAACAGGTACAAATATAAGTCAGCTGTAAACGTAAGTAGCATAAAGCAAATTTTCAAAAACCAGGGGATACTTGTATCTATATATTTAATGCCATTACACCTTAAGACTAACTCTTCCCACACTGCTCTTTCAAGTGAATGAAACTCACCTCATATGTCTCCCCTGGTTTTCATGCTGATCTTCAATGCCGTGCAATTCGCTGATTTCTTCTAATTTGTAGAACAAGCTGTCATTCTTCGTGAACTGCACTATTAGATATTCACTAGATAAATTTTCTCCATCATTAAGGTTTCGAGAAACTGACCCAATGATTCCAATTAAGATTCGCAATATGAAACAAAAAAGAAAAAATAATTAAGAGGAAAAAAGGCACCTGTGGGCCAAAAAAAACTGACACATTTCACTGTTACAGGCCTTTGGCAATCGTCAAAAACAGCTGACTAGGAAATACTTCCATGAGAATTCAGAGTCTCAGTGACACAAATACGGTGTATTAACAACAGCAAAGGAAAACGCTACTGGACATAAGGCACATGTAACATTGAAAAAGCAAATGAGGATGGTCTTTCTCCATGAATACAGATGTGAAAAGACTGAAGAAAGTCAGAAAAGCAAGCTCAGGTATCTGAGAACCTCAGTCTCCTAAACCAAAAAGAGACTTTTTCTAATGGATTTATTCAAATCTAGTTCCCTCCATACAAGGCTAATCCTATAAAGGATTCTTGCATTCTTGATGCTTCCTGACAGAGTAGCTCTGTATGAGTTCTATCGCTACTCTACTCAGATCTTTCTCTTGCTTCCCTGGGAGAACAAATACATGTAGCTGACGTGGTTTCATGAGGAAAGGAACATCACGAGAAAAGATACTGAAGAGAACATTTACCTGACACAGTGTCGTTAAAAGAGTTCCTTTATGTGGTCTTTTGCCTTGGTTCTTTGGAAAAACAGCTTCACCGATTTTTCTCCTAAGCCCTTAGGAATTACCTTTGCCCTAGTTTTCTACCCTAGAGGGTTACATTTCCTGGATGAGCAATTAACAGTTTGGTTTGATACTTTTTGCCTCGCCCTGGGCTGCAGCCCACCTTCCAAGGATTGGTCAATATATTACACATTATGAAATGACTACAGACCACGCAAATAAAGTTTCTAAAGCCTACTTTGCAAATGAAGTATCTGCGGCCTGCCAAGAGAGAATTGGTCAGTTGGTGGCCCTGGTAGGAGGGCCATGCCTTGAAATTGACAATGAATTGTGGACATAAGCAGTTAACCGCACAGAGGTTTCAGAAGCAGGAAGAGACAGGAAGAAGCAGTAAAAGAAGCAAGAAGCAGCAGAAGGAATAAGCAAAGAGAGAGGAAGCAAGGAACCTCCTAAGAGCTGTAACACTGAAGACAGTGAGAAGAAAGGGCCCTAGTGGCAGAGCCAGCGGCAACAGGCCCAGAAGGATGAACAGGCATGGGATAAGAAACTTTTGATTAGTAGATATTTATTTTGGTTGTTGCTATATTTAATGACAAAAAAGTAAGAAATGTCATGCTGCAGCAGTGGATAGGAAAGATGCATCTGGAGTGGTTTGTGGTGAAAGCCCAGTAGGTTAAGCAAGATGACGGATGGGGACCAGAGTGTTCTGATTCAATCCAACCAGAGACATAGGGCTGAATGCTTACAAAGGAGTAAGACAGAGGATGGAAAACAGAAAATGAAACTGGAATGTTTAAAAAGGTTACATGTTTATCTGATTTGGACTGGTATCTAAATATAATTGTATTTGTCTGATTGAATGTTTTCCCTACCTGATGTTGTAAAACAGATCTGAATATATGATGGAAATGACTACTGGATATTGGATTAAAAAAAAAAAAACAGCATGTAACTCTGCCCTTCAGGCAATACTTAGATATGCCAAAAGGGGAAATAAGTACTAAATGAGGCTTATGCCAATAGCCTGTAAGATCAGTAGACGTGCATTTGAGCGTACCACAGTGATTGAAGGCTCAACTGATCAAAGACCTGCTTGGTGAATGAACAGTAAAAGGATGTTTACATGGGGCACAGACCTATGGAATCTGAAGGGTTTGTTGAATACGACATGCCAGTTACCCATCAGAAGAACCCCTTTCCAGGACTGGAAGTTAATGGAAGCCAGCAAGTAGACAGCTTAGTATGTTTGCTTGAACATACCTGGGTCACAAGATGAGTGAAAGTGGGGGAGATGCAGCAATGAAGAAATGGGCTGAATTTGGACACGTTCCTTTGGCAACCACTGACCTAGCCCTGGGGAGCGAAAGGAGGAGCTGGCCAGTCTGATGTGCAGGGGGTTATGTGGACTCCCAAGCCAATGGCTGGTACCCACTGATCTAGATTGGATGGCTAGGGATGAACTGACCCCAAATGAATGTGGATGAAGATTAGCTGAAAGGGGGAAAAAAAGATGTTTGACACCGTAGGTTGGTGTAGATTGCTACAAGTTGATGGCTTGCCCTGGACTGAACTTTACTTATGGATGTTGACAGTTCCAACCAGAACAGAAAGTTCTTCAGGCCCATGAACATGCCTGTCTCTTCAGAATAGTGGTTTGATAGAGACAGCAATTAAAACACTGGCTGTCTAAAGCAGGAGAAGATAAAAGCATGAAGACACTGTACGTGCTTTCATGAGTGTACTTACACTCAAAATGAAGGCAACAAGAGAGGAGCGCCACTGAATAGCTTCCTCTTTTCCTGATAAATCTTGGGAAGAGAGAGTAGAAGATGTGAAACAATATTTTATGATTCAGTTGTGACTGTTGTTAGATGGTTAACTGTGATTGTAAAAAACAGTAAATGTAGAAGTTGTAACTAAAGAGTGCACTAAGGAAAAGGCACTGCTGGACTGGAGTACAATGGCAAAACCTAATGTTCCTTAAAAGTTTTGCTGTGCTGATTAACTGACAAGCCTCAGAGCAAGGAAATAATCTTCTCTCGGTTAAATTTTATTAGATGCCACACAGGATGAAGCTGAGATGACCTTTGGGAGAACCTGACCATATCAGATGCACACCTAGAGCAAACTTGAGCAGCTGGTACCAGACTGACCTCACCCTGGAAGTTTCTGCCCTATGGACAAATTGTTAATGACTGATTTGGACTAGTAAAATGTATGTTAAAAAATCCATAGTGAAAAAGCTAGAGGGTGGCCAGAGTAAGAAGCCCAGAAGGGGCCCAGCGGCAGAGCCAGTAGCAACAACCCAAAAGGGGCCCTATGGCAGAGTCGGTGGGGACAGACTGCAGAATCAAGAAAATCCTGTCCTGAGGGGGTCAAGAGGAGGCCTGCAGAGCTGAGAGGAGCTGAGAGAGCTGTCCTGCACTGAAGAGAGATTGCCTACATGCTTCCTGATCCTGATCCTGAGTTGTAGCCTGTTGATCCTCATCCTGAGTTGTACCCTGTTGTGTAATAAACCACTTAACTGTATCATGGTCTGTGAGTCCTGTTTGGCCACTGCAACAGGTTATTGAATCCAAAAAAGAAGTACAGCGTGCCATGGGAGGGATGGCGGGTGTCAAAATTGGTAAAAAGCTTGGAGAGTGGAGGTATATCTGATCTCCACCTCACAGGAATCAGCTTTGGGCTGATCCTGGTCATTATGAACCCTGAAGTTTGACGGTTTGAACACTGCTGCTGCTGCTGCTGCTACTACTACCACCACCACCACCACCACCACCACCACCTCCACCACTACCCCCAGCAGCACTTTACACCAAGCCAACGTTTTCATCTTTAGGATCTTTGGAGGTAAATGTAAGTTTATTTGCAGCAAAATAATCATGTCAAACTTAACCACAGTGAAACTCTTTATAAGGTTACAAACCAGATATCTCTGTATCCCAAAGTGACCTCTAAAATCAATGCTCCCACTTATAACATTTAAAGAGCCTTGAGACTTTTGACTACAACAGAAATAAAAACCCAGCTTAATATATAAAGCTTTATGTGCCCGGGGAAGTCAGGATACATACACTCCACAGAGCAAATGACCACAGCTGTGTGTTTAACCATATGCTGCCTTTCCTCAACCTAAATACTGGACTGAGATCGATGAGTACAATATGTTTGCTCACTAAAAGAGTGAATAAAAAAATGACGCCATCCTTACCTACTGAGGCCAGGTTTATGAAGGTTTCCAACATCACATCTATGTAGAGTTTCCTCTGAGCAAGATCCAGTAAAGCCCACTCTTCCTGGGTCAAGTCCACAGCCACATCCTCAACGACCACTGAGTCCTAAAACATCCCACATATTCTGGTTCAGCAAGTTAGCATGTACTCCAATGTGTACAAAAGAATGGGTGAGGCTGACAGTCCTGGGGAACTGAGAATTCACAAGGATTTCACACAGGTCCTATGCCAAGGTCTATTCTTGGGCTTAGCCATCATTCTTTTCTTTTCACTGTCTACATTCACATCCTCACTGATGGCATCCTGTCTCACAGATTTAACAATACCTCCAACAAACTGAAACTTATTTCTCCACAGTCTCACTGTGACAAACTTCAGTCTTATTCTTCTCTATCTTTATGATCTAGAAACTCAAGAGCACATAACAGAAATTAGAGAAATGCTCTACAATTCCACTTCCTTTTGGGAAAAAAAATTAACTTCCTTCCATAAGATCCACCAGAACACTATACAAGACACAAGGCACAGAGTAAAAGCAGGATGAGATAATAACTGAGAAACACTTGAGGACTGGCAGTTTTTCCTTTTGCCCCTCACCAGCCTTGAGAAACTCAGGGGCCCACACAAGCAAACTGGCAAGCCAAGGTCCTGCACAGTATTTTCTTGAAGAACTCCAGGTGGTCAGGAGGTGACAGGACAACCTGCCACAGAGCGAATATTCTCTTGAAGAATTATGAATTTTTACATGTCTCACTTCTTTTTCAGTAACTCAGTAGTTACACTATCACCTCCTCTGTCCCTTTCACAGATAGAGATAAAGGTACTCAAAACTCAAACAGAGCTCAGGTGAGAGGAAACATGAGAATCTAGATCTCCCCACAATTATCAAACTTTCAAGACCTGCTGATACTGAAGACCAATTTTTGGTGACTGCTCCCCTCAACATACACCCAGACACCCAAACACGCTCTAATGTTAGAAAATGACAAAGAGCCCTATCTCTCCAAGAAGCAGAATAGCATTCCCTTGTGTCTGTTGAGTATGAGAAAGAGATTAAGATTCCCACTTTCTAAGTAAGTTCACTGAAGTGCAAGTTTAGCTGTTAAATTACCCATAAACCCCAGGAAACAAAGACCTGTTCACCAGCCTCTATAGCGTCCACTTGAAAATCTTCTCACATTTGCAGCCCTGAAAGGCACAGAAAGATGACTACCTGAACTCTGACTACTGGCATCCCCTAGGCTGTAAGACCGGCCTCTGTGAAACAGCCTCAACCCACTGGCCTCCAAACGTAGAGAAAAAAAAGCTGTCACATTGCATTTCTGATACTAAAATTGGACTGAACAGCAGAGCAGCTGTAGAACAGGAAGGTTACTCTTGTCAGGATAGGGGTGTGAAGTGAACTGTCTAGGTCATCTCTAACCATTCCTGGTATGACGATGCACACCAAACTTGGACCCACAGTCAAAATTCAAGAGTCTCCTCCATTGCAGTGAGCCATGTTACACATTTTAAAGCTAATAAAAACCCTAACACTCATTAGGCAAACACTTAAAAACCAAAGTTCATTAAATTATCATAGGTAGGACGGAGGGAAAGGGTCACTATTTAAGAAACAATGAGTTTATGGTAACGGAAAATTTGAAAATGGATATCGATGATGGGCAAACTGCTGCCCCCATACTGGAGAGACACATAGGCAGACACAGATAATCATACCAGAGCAGAAGCTGAGGAGCAGAAACCACTGCTAGAATCAGTACCAGAGTACGAAAACTGAAACTGTAATTGACAAATTCTTGGAGGCTCTGTGGACAAGATGGAGGGGTAAACATGCCAAGGGGGCCAATCTTAGTGAGACCCACAGAGTTTTGTAAGTTTTACCTCCTGAAACCCAACCAGGTCCTCAGTGTGAAGATCAGAGAAAAATCCCCTTGTGCTTCCAGTAGGTGTAAGAAGAAAAGTTGCCATTTTGAAACCTGCCAAGAACATTTCTATTTGCCTTAACAAGGCCTATCCTCAAGGGAAGTTATTTTGAAAGAACTGAACTTAGCTGCAATAGTGAAATAACCAACTCCAGCCCCATCTAGGCTTCCTGTTTCATCAAAGTGGGGAATGGTAGTAGCAGAGAAGTACTTGTGAGGTTACTGCCCAGAAAAATAGGCTCACTAAAAGACTGAGACTTAATCATTGGACTACAGAATACTCCTCCGTGCACATGTTACCACCCATCAATAGGATTCCTATATAATAACAGGAAATTACAAATGAAAGTACACCAATTTTCAAACCTTATTTAAGGAGTCTCTAGAATATACAAACACAAGAAAATCAAAAACAAGAACATAAGAAAACATTTTGGGCCTCTGATACCTACAGGAAACAATAAAAATAGCCTAACTTAGCCATATAAACTACAAGGCTTATACTACAGGGCTATTTATCTTAGATCCTTTTACTTAGTATGCAATCTTCGATTTTCAACAAAAAACTACAAGACATACTAAAAGACAAAAAACAGTTTGAAAAGACAGTGTAAGCAACAAACTAGCCTAAGATATCAGAGTTTTGCAATTCTCCAAAACACAATTCTTAAAGTGTATGTGCCTAACAGAACACCAAAGTATGTAAGGCAAAAACTAATAGAACTGCAAGGAGAATATAAACAAATCCATCATTACAGTTGGAGACTTCAATACTCCTCTCTATTAATAACTGATATATCAGCAAAATACATCAGTAAAGATATAATTCAACTAACAACACCATCAATGATGGATCTAATTGACATTTATAGAATACCTTACCCAAAAACAGTAGAATACACATTCTTCTCAAGCTCACAGAGAACATTCAACACAACTTTAAAAATATAGAAGGTTAGAAATCACACATAGTATGCTCCCAGACCTCAATGAACTTAAGGTAGATATCAATAACAGAATGACACCTGCAAAATCCCAAAATAAGAACACACTTCTAAATAACACAAAATAAAAATAATAACAGAATAAATCAACAAATATAAAAACACAAAATCAATACAGAAAGTCAACAAACCAAAAGCTGGTTTTCAAAAGATCAGTAAAATTGATAAACCTCTAGCCAGACTAACCGAAAAAAAAAAAAAAGATAACAAATTACTAATACCATAAATGAAAAAAAGGTCATTAATCCCACAGACATTAAAAGGATCACAAATGATTATTAGGAACAACTCTATGACCAGAAACTTGATAACCTAGATGAAAGGGACCAATTCCTTGGAAAACACCATCTATCTAGACATGTTGCTGTTAGGTGCCACTGAGTTGGTTCTGACTCATACTGACCCTACGTACAACAGAATGAAATACTGCCAGGTCCTGAGCCATCCACACAATGTTGTTACGCTTGAGGCCACTGTTGCAGCCACTGTGTCAATCCATCCTGTTGAAGGAAAACTTTTTGCTAAACATATACACAAGGAAAAAAAATCTGAATACACCTATTATCTGTTAAATAATTAAATCAATAAATAAAAACATCCCAAAACAGAAAACACCAGGTTCAGATTGGTTCACTGGTGAATTCTACCAAACATTTAATGAAGAAAGTATACCAATTCTCTATCTCTTCCAGAAAATAAAAGCAGAAAAAAACTCCAAACTAATTTTATGAGGCCAGTATTACCCAACAGAAAAAAAAGAAACAAAACCCAAACCTGTTGCCATCTAGTCGATTTCAACCCAATGTGGCCCTAAAGGACAGAGCAGAACTGCCCCTAGGGTTTCCAAGGCTGAAATCTTTACAAAAGCAGACCATCACATCTTTCTCCCACAGAGCAGCTAGTGGGTTCGAACCGCAGACCTTTTGGCTAGCAGTTGAGTACTTAACCACTGTGCCACCAGGTCTCCTATACCCAATACCAAAAACATATTACAAGAAAAAAAAAGTACAGACTAGTATCTCTCATAAACATGGACGCAAAATTTCTCAACAAGATGTTTGAAATCAAATCCAACGTATAACAAGAATTATATGCCATGAACCAAGTACGATGGACCAGGTATGCAAGACTGGTTGAACACTAGAAAATCAATGTAATCCATCACATCAATAGGCTAAACAAGAAAAATCATATGAACATATGCAGAAAAATCATTTGACAATATTCAACACCCATTTATGATAAAAATTCTCATCAAACTAGGAAAAGACTGTCAACTTCATAAAGAACATCTACCAAAAAAATCTACAGCTAACATCATAATTAACAGTGAGAAGCTAAAGGCTTTCCTGCTAAGATTGGGAAGAAGGCAAGGATGTCCCCACTCACCACTCCTATTCATAATATACTAGAAGTCCTAGGCAATGCAGTGAGAAAAGGAAAAAATAAACACACTGGTAAGGACAAAACATAACTGTCTTTGTTCAAAGATGAAATATTGTCTTATGAAGAAAATCGAAAAGAATCAACCAAAAACTCCTGAAAATTTGCAAATCTTTGCAAAACACATATATGATACAGGACTGGTATTCAAAATATACAAAGAACTCTTAAAACTCAACAAACAAGAAAACAAAAAACCCAATTACAAAATGAGCAAAAGATCTGCCACCTCACCGAAGAAGATATGCAGGTGACAAGTAAGCATATGAAAAGATTATCAACATCATGTGTCATCAGAGAATTTGAAATTAAAACAATAACATACAAATACATATACATTAAAAGGGTTAAAATCCAAACCACTGACAACAACTGCTGACGATGTGGAGCAACAAGACTTCGCAGTCACGGCTAGCAGAAATGCAAAATGGCACGATCAGTTTGGAAAGCAGTTTGGCAGTTTCTTACAAAACTGAACATACTATTATCATATGATCCAGCAATTGCACTCCTTGGTATTTAGCCAAATGAGCTGAATACCTATGTCCACACAAAAACCTGCATACAAATGTTTACAGCAGCTTTATTCACAGCTGCTCAAACTTAGAAGCAACCAAAATGCCCTCCAATAAATGAATGAATAAGTAAACTGTGGTGCATACACACACAGGCATAAATAAAAAATGAAATCAGCTACCGACTCACAAGAAAACATGGCAGAACCTTAAATGAA